AAAAAAAAATTATATTCATAATTAGTAATACAGAGTGTTCTACTCCTGAAATAATATTCCAAGAAAATTATTTTTTCTATAATTTCTGTCTGAAAATTGTGTTGCAGCCTATACACGCAAGCGGCCTATACATGCGTAAATACGGTATATACTGGTTATTCTTACAATCCTGCTCAACGTATATTGCGTCAGAACTCCCCAACGCTGTGACCAGACAACACTCCACACTCGCAGTGCTAGCATTAGTATCCGGCTAGTCTCTACCCGAGATGCGTCGTTTCAAGTGAAATGCCACACTCTCTGACGCAGTATCCGTTTTGTATGACGATCTTGGCATTATACCTAACTCCATGGAGCTGAGTCCTCCTTGAATACCAACTGCTGAAGATACCCAAGAAATTCTCCGTCTCTTATTCAACCCACAGATCCGTTAGTTATCACAGGAACTCGTCACTGGGTCCTGTCCCGAGCACCATAAATCTAGTCATCATCCCATCCTGTTCCTTCCTCCCGCCTACTTTTTGGTCTTCAAAGTGGTCTCTTTCCTTTAGGATTTCAGGTTAAAATTTTGTATGCAATTCTCATCGCTCATGCTACGTGACCTTCCCATTCCATTACCAGGTGGAAAATATAAATTACCCTTATATGCATACACATACATATACACACACAGAAAAAAGTTCTGTAAACGCCACACTCATTGCACAATTTCAGGTCATCACAGAAACGACATGTCTAGCGTTAACGCAGGTCATGAATCACTTTCTTGATACGTGTCCACCGAGTGCTGATAAAGTTTTGAAGTTGATATGTGAAGGGTAGTATAAAGAAGACGGTTTAGGAATGACTATTTGTGAGTGGTATTCGTGGGTGATGGCGTTAAACGTCGCCCTCGAAGCATCATTCGATAACATGTAGCATGTGAAAGGAATACAGGAGGAATAATATTATATTTAAGCATCCTGTCGCACTGAGGTACCACTTATAGTCTTTCAAATGTTCCGTCTAAAATGTAACAAATCAATAACATTGATTCGCACTTTAACACTAAATAAAAGGAATGACATTGGATTAGTGCGCAGTGCATTAGGATTCCTCACACAAGTGTTGTTTGGAGATGGCCCTGCATGGCCGAAACATGTAGCATTATAATAATGCATTCATTCATTCATCTGTAATCTGTCAAAGACGACAGGTCCACAGTCTCTTCCAAAACAGTTCCTCCACTTCATGCGATCTAGAGCTTTCTCCTTCAAATGAGAATATCCTCTTCTGTCCCCAAGGTCATCCAGCATCTTCTTACGTCTTCTTCCTCGTCTTCTGGTCACTTCTATCCGCCCCTCTATTTTTCCTTCAATAACTAATAATGCATATAGTATTTTAATAGTTTTATATAATATCTTATGCACATACCGACTACTGTGTGATATTAGAGTGTGAATCAATGTTATTGATAGTTGCATTATAGACGAAACGTTTGACAGACTGTAACTGAATAAAGGAGGAAGTTAACAGTACCGAAGTTTTTTGAAAAAACGTCAAGGTTCTCCGCTGAGTTCTGAACAGGTCGGACACTACCGAACCTCTCATTACATAGGCTCCTCGAGCCCCGTGTTACTCGCCCCCAGCCCATGTGCCCTCTGCGCCCTGCTCTCAAACAACATATACGAAAGCCTGGCCAACATGGCTGTACTGAATACCCCCTCGACAGAGGGGTGCACACGGAGGTCTAGTAAATGTGGCGAGCAAGGGAACTCTTCACAACTGGGACGGGCTGTCTAAACGGAGTACTTAATTGTATTTCCTTGCATTCGCGTTCCTACGTTGGAGCTAAATTGCCCTGAATTGCCGGGCATCCAATTTCTGCAAAGCGGATCACATAACATTCACCAATATCACGTTCACATGTCTCACAGATATATAATTACTAGCACGACCAGTGAAACCGGTGTTACCTGCTTGTCACATTACCGGGCCAAACGCTGGCAGGAGATACGCATATGAACATTCTTCTAGAGTAAGCGTGGTTCACAGGGAAACAAAGGCACCGTTAAAAAATAATATTATAATATGCGGCCCTCAGCCAACTGAGAAAGTTCCTAGTCGGCCCAACTAATGAAAGCAGATTCCGTTACAGAGGAGAGGAGAGGAGA